TTAAATTAATTTAAATCCACTCAAAATGTTTTTATTATTAAAGAATGAAACAATTAGAATGCTGTAATAGTTATTGTTACTGCTCAAAAAACAAAGAATAACGCAAAAATATTATGTGTTGTCAAAAAGTGACAGCTCAAGCATTATTGTTATTGTTTTGCTAATAAAGCAAAAATTTGAATTTTGTGTTTTTTTGCTTGAACCATTTTGTTATAAATGGTAATAAATAGCAGTAATCAAAGCTAAAAGGCATGTTTAACTAGTGTTTTAATTATCTGGCCTGGAAAATGTAATATAATGATCTAATTTTACAATAAAACATTGATAAAACATGATACATTTTCAATAACAATAAAACATGAAACATTTTCATGTTGTTTTTTGGTTCTAAAAAGTAAAAAAGCCTTCATGAAGAAGTTAGATTTTGGTCCAGCTGTCTGATGCAATAAAAGTTGCAAAGCGGTCCATGTACAATATTGCAAATAATTGCAAAAAGGAAGCGTATACAGCTCTTTTTAGCGGAACATCTTTGGAAAAATTACCCTGGACGTCAAATTACAAGAGATATGGTCATGTATACCATCAGAATGGGTTGTAGGAATTTTCAATGAGGACTGTCAAATCTTTAATACATTTTATGAGTATTTGTCAAATGGCCTTGTCAATTGGCTTAACAAAAACAAAAGAATAAAGTTTTCATAATTTTTAATAAAGTCATAATTTGATTAAATTTGATTAAATAATTTGATTAAATAAAAAAGTCATAAGTTGATGGTCATAAAAGCCATATAAAAAGAACAACAATTCTTTACAGTAATGTAAACTAAGTCTTGTTGATAGTCATAAAAGCCATATAAAAAGAATAACAATTCTTTACAGTAAACAAAAGAAGAAATAATTAAATCATTTATTTAAAAGTTGATATAATTTTTTTTCCAAAAGATATAATAAAAAAGACATACTAATATAAATATAAAAATATTTATATGTTAATCATAATTATTTTTATAAAAAATCATTAGCAGTGATTTGTTAATTTATTTAAATGCAATAATATAAAAACCTAAGTGTGGTGTATTATTATATTATTATGTAGTGTAATAATATGGTGTATTATGGTGATAAAATATGGTGTATTATTTGCCAAAAGTTGATCAGATTGATGTGTGGTCTGACTCTAACAAGACAAGAAAAAGAGGCATAATCTTAATCAGAGATTTAAAAAAATTGTATCGAACAATGTTTTTCAGAGAAGATTAAAGTGATTTGGGTATCAGCATGTAGAGAGGTTTCAGCTTCAGGAGAAAATGGTAGTAGTAGAGGTAAGAAAACTTGAAGAGAGTGTGTTACAAATTGTATGAATGAGTTTAAGTTAAGGAAAGAAGATGCTTGAGATTATACTAAAGAAATGCGGTTTCTTTAGTATAAACAAGATGATGATGATGATGATGATGATGATGATGATGATGATGATGATGATGATGATGATGATGATGATGATGATGATAATGATGATGATGATGATGATGATGATGATGATGATGATCACTATGATGTTCACATACGCATATATATATATATAAAATATAACATGAAATAAAAAAATCATAAAATCATAGTTAGTCTGTAAAATCATAGTTGACTAGAGAATTTTAGGCCAGCCCTAAACGCTACTTAAATCTGAATTTTTTTTATTTTTTTTTATTTTGAGCTCAACTAATTCCTTATCTTCTCCTCTTGCTCTCCTTTCTTTAAAATCCAGCTGGTAGGCTATGTGAAGGAATCACCCCATGCTCTTTATTTAAGAATTAAGACAGATATTAAATTTCATAGCATACCTATAAAATTTAATATCTGGAAGATCTGCCACAACCCTATAAATTTTCTGAAAGTCATTCAGGCTAGTCAGGTCTCAAATTCTAAAAGTAGTAGTTGTGTCAGTCACTTCGCTAAAAATGGTGCCAACTTTTCCATTAACCATAGTCTTCTTTAGCTCGTGGTAGAACATGAATCCATCCAACCTTGTAAAGACAGCCTGAAACTCCTTGAAAAGTTAATCTATTCCACCATAACATCCTTAGTCTCATTTATGTATTAAAATCTGATTGGCCTGCAATAAAATGTAGAGGAGGGTTTTAAGTTTGTCCAGAAAACCTCTTGTCTCCTTGCTCCGGATCTGTAGTGGAACAAGACAAATACTTTTCTAATGTTATGTTGGCTAGCTAAAAATTCTTAGATACCATGTTTATAAACAGACTGTACAGTGCAACTATTGTACCCTACTTTAGAGATCATAATGTGATCTTGAGCCCTTAAGCTTACAGATCTTGATCTCTGAGCTTACAGACTCTATTATCTGCTTCACCTTATTGTTGAGAAACTTTTACAAGTCAACTGAGGTATTATAATCCCTTGTTGTGATTCCATCTAACTCTCCTTGTGTCGTTGAGTCTGAGATTTTTTAATGTATATTTAATTTAATTGTTCATTATTTTTATTA